CCTAAGACCGTAAAAATACACTAATAGGCACTCTGAAAACGGTTGAAAATGGATAAAAACGAGTGAGATAAACTGAATTAGTCTTAACGTGAAAAACTAAAAAACACCCAATAGTAATCTGAGGCAAAACCACAGTTAACTATTATATATGGTGAAACTCAAAAAAAGTAATCTACCGAACGTATAGCTCAGGATAGATTCTTTAGAACGGAAATGGTACTTTTGTTACGTAAGAACACAGCAAATGTTTGATAAATGCCAATCACGTTAGGACTAAACTTCCTTTTTCGCACTGTAATTTTAAATTGTTTGCACTTGTTCTATATAGTGTGTTCGGGGCTTCTAAGTCGTAATGCATGCCGTAGAGGAAATCATCCATACGGCTGCAGAATAGTCGACCTCTGGAGTCATGATAAAGTCTCAAATACTCTTTCAGCCTCGACTACATAGTTTCAATATTGTTTATGTGCACTGCGGTTGTTGAGTGCACAAAATGCTACTTGTGGACAATGACACGAAGCACATAACCAAGCCTATGTATGAGTCTGTACGCTCCCCAAACATCCGTATATATTGTAGTATCTGGCTGCAGCCAGTGTTACTGGTGGTTTTATTATTCAGTTCGCAATAATTGTCGTAACTTGCCTTAGTTAGGAATTAGATATGGGGTTTTCATCAAGAACTGACATCAGCTATAATGCCAGAAATTAATTTAGCCAAATGAATGAAAGGCTTTCGCGTTAAAACCCCCTGAATGCCCTGGTACGGCCGAGAGTGGGGAGAGTCCGCTCTCCCTCTCGAAATACTCTCACACGGCCACGCGTATACAGCCTCTGCCAGGGAAGTCCTACTCATTGCCTTCTCGTGGCGGGGGTGTTGTCTACGAAAATGAGAGGACGAAAAGCGAATGTCCGGCGCTTTAACCGGATTCCAAATCAATGGTGCACATGGGCTCCAGTATCCTGCGGGAACGAATGGCGTATGAACCAATCGTTGGTCACCGGCTACCATGGGACTGCATCTCCTTACGATGCTCCACTGCCTTGTGGGTTAGACCTTTAGGTCAAAGGCTCGGGGAGTGGCCCCCTAAGATAACCACCTGCTTCGGTTTGGGCACCCGGGCAGTATCACAGCCCACACACAAATGATGAACTCTTTATGCCTACGGAAATTACCTTTCTTGCTTTGAAAAACAAACAATTGATTCAGATTATTATCATTACAATTATTGTCATTATTAATACTATTATTATTATTATTATTACTATTATTGTCGTTATTATTATTATTATTATTATTTTCCACATTATTCACCCTCTTTTATACTTATACAGCGGCTCGTCTTTGGTGGAAATCCGACTGTATCTATACGTTCTCGAGTCACTGTCCGGTTGAAAATTGTATGTTACCACCGAATACGAGGACTGAAGCAGATTTTCTGAAACCACGTGCACCATTCAAACTGGCTGCCTTCAACGTTCGCACATTTATGCAGGTCGGACAACAGATAGGGCTGGCTATGTCTTTGGAAAGTCTTAATATCGACGTTTGTTGTCTATCCGAGACCCGTATTCAAGACTCTGGCGAAGTACTACAAATTCGATCTCCATCTGTCGCTTCGAAAAGCTTGTTTTACGTGCGCTTATCCGGGGACCCTGTGGCATCTTCGTCTGGTCTTGCTGGCGTTGGTGTCGCACTAAGCGCTAGAGCTGAGGCAGCACTAGTCGATTGGATCCCCATTAACAGTCGGTTATGTGCTGTTAGATTAGAAAGTTCCATCAAAGTGAGAAGAAATCGGCGTGAGAAACGATGTCTTTTCGTCATCTCCGCCTATGCCCCGACAGATTGCAGCCCGGATGCAATCAAGGATGAGTTTTACCACCAGTTATCAGTTCTTCTCCAGAAAGTGCGTTCGACAGATATTGTAGTACTAGCCGGAGACTTGAATGCTCAGGTCGGGCGTCTAGGCACAGAAGAGAGTCGTTTAGGTGGCCGATGGGGACTCGTTGGTCGCAGGTCAGATAACGGGGACCGTCTACTGCAACTTTGCACAGACCACAACCTGTTTCTGGCTAGCACTAACTTTCGGCACAGTCATCGCCGATGTGCCACCTGGCGTCCTCCCTCTGCATCTCAAGCCTGGACTCAGATTGATCACATCGCGATCAGCTACCGCTGGCGTGGTTGTGTACAAGACTGCCGCTCCTTTTGGAGTACCTATCTGGACTCTGACCATGCCTTGGTCTGCGCCAATCTTGCCTTACTTTTCAGTGGACAACGAAGTGAACGCCATCAACGGATTGATGTTAGCAAGCTGGTTGCAACTTCTGTTGCAAGTAAGTATCGAACCGAGCTAGCCTCTAGGCTAGCTACCACTCCACCGAAAAGTATAGATGAGCATTGGTTGCAATTGCATGACGCCATGAAAATGGCGGGAACAGTCAGTTGTGGGTTTGCGAAACGTCCCGCCTTTAAGCACTGGGTTTCTTCTGGTTCCTTACAACTCATTGAAGCCCGTCGGTCTACTCCGGGTGACCGTGAGTTTGACCATAAACGAAGGATGTTACGTAAGGAAATTGGGCAAAGCTTGCGTAAGGACCGAGAAGCCTGGTGGTCGATGCGTGCTAATGAGCTGGAAGCAGCAGCTGCATCTGGTAACTACCGGAAGCTCTTCCAGCTCATCCGAGCCACTGGCAGCAAGAAGTCTGGTGTGAGTGAAACAATCTGCGAGGATGATGGGATGCCAATCACTAACATCCATCGACGTCTTGGACGATGGGCAGAATTTTTCGAAGGGCAGTTCAACTGGCCTGCTGCTCCGGCAACATCGGTCAGACTGTCCTGCCCTCCATGGCCGGTGACGACTGATCCACCAAATGAGGAGGAAGTCCGCAAGGAACTCCAACTCTTGAAGCGTTACAAATCACCTGGCCCAGATGACTTACCTCCGGCTCTTTTTAAAGATGGTGGTGACTTTTTGACTAAGGAATTGACGACGTTGTTTACAAAGGTTTGGGAACTAGAGAGTGTACCAACGTCATGGAATGAGTCGATAGTTGTCCCTATCTTTAAAAAGGGTTCACGTCGTTCTTGTAACAACTATCGGGGGATAAGTTTACTTCCGATTGCGTCCAAGCTATTGGCTTCCGTCATTCTTCGTAGGTTGTTCAAAACCCGAGAAAGATTGACTCGCGAGGAGCAGGCTGGGTTTCGTTCTGGTCGAGGATGTATTGATCATATCTTCACCCTCCGCCAAATGTTAGAACACCGCCATACTTTTCAAAGGCCAACAATCGTAGTGTTTCTTGACATCAGGGCTGCCTTCGATTCGTTGGACAGGACTGTTCTCTGGGATTGTCTATTGAAGAAGGGTGTGCCTGAGAAGTTTATTAACATCCTAAAAGCCCTGTATAAAAACACCTCAGGCAGAGTGAGGGCATACAACCACCTCTCTCCATTGTTCCATTCGAGCAGTGGGGTTAGGCAGGGTTGCCCAATCTCACCATTCCTCTTCAACTTTGCCATCGATGACATTCTGGAAACAGCTCTGATGAATGTAAGTAATGGTGGTGTGGATCTGTTGCCTGGAGAAAGACTTCTCGACCTTGAGTATGCGGACGATATTGTCTTACTGTGCGATAATGCCCAAGGCATGCAATCCGCACTTAATCAGTTGGCAATCAGTGTCCGTAGGTATGGTATGTGCTTTGCACCTTCGAAGTGCAAAGTACTTCTACAAGACTGGCAGGATTCTAATCCTGTACTCACCCTGGACGGTGAGCAGATAGACGTAGTTGAGAAGTTCGTGTATCTGGGTAGCTGCATAAGTGCTGGTGGGGGTGTGAGTGATGAGATCAATGCACGAATAGTGAAAGCCAGAGCGGCTTATGCCAATCTGGGCCACCTTTGGCGCCTTCGTGATGTTAGTCTGGCTGTAAAAGGTCGGATCTACAACGCGTCGGTGAGAGCAGTTTTGCTCTATGCTTGTGAAACCTGGCCTCTCCGAGTTGAGGACGTTAGACGACTCTCTGTGTTCGATCATCGCTGTCTCCGAAGGATTGCTGACATTCAGTGGCAACACCATGTCAGTAATGCAGAGGTTCGGCATCGTGTGTTCGGGCACAGAGATGATAACTCAATTGGTGTCACCATCTTGAAACACCGACTTCGGTGGCTTGGACATGTTCTCCGAATGTCGTCCCAGAGAATTCCACGTCGTGCATTATTTGCCGACTCTGGGACTGGTTGGAAGAAGCGGAGAGGTGGTCAGTGCATGACATGGTGTCGTGGCATGAAAGAAAGCTGCAAAGGACTGGCTTGTGTTGGTCCTTCACGACTCCCTGGTTGGGGTCCGAGAGATGGTGCTACACAGTGGCTAGAGACGTTATCAGATATGGCTCAGAATAGAAGCCAGTGGCGATCCTGCTGTAACCTTCTTTTACTTTCTTCATAAAAAGTGGTTGTGTCTCCTTTACCTGAAAGATTTCTTCTGATTGTACCTTTTCGTTCCGTCGTTACTACCACACTACCTTACTCCAATCTCTTCGTCATTGTTCTCTTTTTCTTTTGCGTTCCTTAGTTTTTTTTTCTCTTTCTACTTCTCTTCGAATTCCCATTGTTTTGTGTGGCGCATATATATTGGCGCTCTCTTGTACCAATATTTATGTGTTCAAATAGATAAATAAATAAAAATAAACACAGCAACATCACCCAGTTCTCGGACCAGTACTCCGGGAACTACTTCAGTCAGTGACATACACCACCATACATACGTTTTTCAAAAGTTCTCACTATTAATTTTTCCATTAATACGAACAGTTCCTAATCAGTTTGCTTGCAAATTAGTTTTTTGGGTTTGCGGATTCATCTTTTTTCCTCATGACTTGTGTGGCGCAGATATATTTTGTGCCTCCTTGTACCGATGTTTGTATTTAAACAAGTAAATAAATCCTCATAGATTACCTAAGTACAATACCTCACTATCTGATTTTGTTTTGTAGCTCTACTGAATACCAACTTTCCGAACTTCTTCCACTCTATGACAGTTGATAGTCTAGAGTGCAGCATATGCTTGCAAAACCTTGTTCATCCTGCTCAATTACCATGTGGTCATATATTTTGCTTTTTGTGCATTAAAGGTTGTGCCTTTCACAGGCGAAAATGTCCTATGTGCCGCAGTAGATTCTCGTCGCGTTTTTTCGATGATCCCAAGTTAATAAATGGTAAGTTTATTAGTCGTTACCATCAATTTTACTATCACAGTTTTAGAGTAGTAGTAGCAGCCTGGGTTTCCACCATCTAAGTGAGTCTTTTAGCTTACCAAGGGGATTCGATGGTTTGAGGTCAGAAAACGGTGACCACCTTCAGCTTCGAGCAAACCACCTGTTGATGTTTATCACTTACTTCTACCACAGTCATCACTAATATGAAACTGGGGTTCCCTTTCTACAGCTCAAGCCTAGTCTCAAATTAGTCACATTGTAATCAGCTACCGCCGAATCAGATGCACATAAGATTTCGCTTTTTCTCAAATACCTGTCTGGATTCCAATCATTCCCTGGTTTGCACCAGATTTATCTTGTCTTTTGATGACCAACAAAAATAGCTACACCTTCCATTGCAACGAACGTTAGACAGGGTTACCCATTCTCACCATTCCGCTTCAACTTTGCCATCGATGACATTCTGGAAACAGCTTTGATGGATGTAATTAATGGCGGTGTAGATCTGTTGCCTGGAGAAAGACTTCTCGACCTGGAGTATGCGGACGATATTGTCTTACTGTGCGATAATGCCCAAGGCATGCAATCCGCACTTAATCAGATGGCAATCAGTGTCCGTAGGTATGGTATGTGCTTTGCACCCTCGAAGTGCAAAGTACTCCTACAAGACTAGCAGGATTCTAATCCTGTACTCACCCTGGATGGTGAGAGGATAGAAGTAGTCGAGAAGTTAGTGTATCTAGGTAGCTACATAAGGCTGGCAGTGGCGTGAGTGATGAGATCAATGCACGAATAGTGAAAGCCAGAGCGGCTTATGCCAATCTGGGCCACCTTTGGCGCCTTCGTGATGTTAGTCTGGCTGTAAAAGGCCGGATCTACAACGCGTCGGTGATAACAGTTTTGCTCTATGCTTGTGAAACCTGGCCTCTCCGAGTTGAGGACGTTAGACGACTCTCTGTGTTCGATCATCGCTGTCTCCGAAGGATTGCTGACATCCAGTAGCAACACCATGCTAGTAATGCAGAGGTTCGGCATCGTATGTTCGAGCACAGAGAAGATAATCCAATTGGTGCCGCCATCTTGAAAAATCGACTTCGGTGTCTTGGACATGCTCTACGAATGTCGTCCCAGAGAATTCCTCGTCGTGCATTATTTGCCGACGTTGGGACCGGTTGGACGAAGCGGAGAGGTGGTCAGTGTATGACATGGTGTCGGGGTATGAAAGAAAGCTGCGAAGGGCTGGTTTCTGTTGGTCCTTCACGACTCCCTGGTTGGGGTCCGAGAGATGGTGCTACACAGTGGCTAGAGACGTTATCAGATATGGCTCAGAATAGAAGCCAGTGGCGATCCTGCTGTAACCCTCTTTTACTTTCTTCATAAAAAGTGGTTGTTTCCTCTTTAACTGAAAAATTTCTTCTGATTGTACCTTTCCGTTTCCCCTATTATTACTTCACTACCTTGCACTAATCTGTTCGTTACTGTTCTTTTTTTTCTTCTAATTCTCATTGTTTTGTGTGGCGCATACATTTCTGGTGCACTCTTGTACCAATATTTATATGTTCAAATAAATAAATTCCGGTCTACTCCAGAGAAACGCTAGTCTAGTAGTATACAAATTCTTGACTCAGGAACTTTACAAGGCTTATTTAAGGCCCAATAAACCTCACCCGGCCAGTTGTATTCGAGTAGAGAACCTGTATAAGGTTAGTGTACTTTGGTCCTCCTTTCAGTGACAAACACTGCCATAGAACCTCACGATCAACAGAGTCAAATACCACCTTAAGGTCGAGAAATACTACTATTGTGGGGCGTCTGAATGTGTGTCTATGTTCTAGGACCTGGCGTAGTGTGAATATTTGATCTATACAACCACGTCCAGGTCGAAAACCAGCCTGATTTTCTCTAGTCTGTTCTTCACGAGCTTTGGTTAGGCGTCGAAGTATTATTTAAGCTAATATTTTAGACACTATATTTGTCAAACTGATTCCTCTGTGATTGTCACAAGAGGACTTTTGTCCTTTCTTATAGACTGGCACAATCAGTGATTGAGACCAGTCAGATGGGATTACGTCCAGTTCCCAAATCCTACCTAAGACCTCAGTTAATCTCACTGCTAATACTGAACCACCATCCTTAAAAATCTCAGGAGTAAACCTGTCGGGGTCTGTTGCTCTTACTCGCTTCAGATTTCCTATGGCTTTTTCAACTTCATAAAGAGTTGGAGGACTTACATCAACTTGCCATTCAGGTCGACTGGAGATCGTGGGAGCGCACAACTTTTTGGAGGTCGGAACGCTTTCTGTAAAGCTCGTTTTTTACATCATCTGAACTGCAGTCATTAGGAGAGTAGGCAGTGACGACGAACGTTCTATCTTTCCGAGCCTTTACTGTTCCGTTTAGTCGGACAACGCACAAACGGCTGTCTACTGGGATCCAGTCTAAGAGAGCTAGTTCTGCCCTAGGACTCTATGCTATAATTACCACCAGCGAGGCCACGGGAAGCAGCATCGGGGCTTCCAGGCACGAAGCGTGAATCAAACTGACTCTTTATTTTGATATGGTGAAGTCAAACGAACGACGCTGCTCGGATCCTGTATGTGCGTTTTGAGGACGCAGCACACATCGATGGCGCGAGATTCTAAAGCTTTAGCTAAAGAAGCCTGTTGTCCTATTTGGCATAGTGTTTGGACGTTAAAAGCTCCCACATGGATTTTTGAGTGTGGTTTCATGAGACCAGGAATAACCTCCCGTGTACTCGAATCGTTTGCCCTAGAGGCGCGAGGTGATAAAGGAAAGGAAGAATCGTTTGTCGTGGAAATAAGAGAGTTGTTAGGATGTGTAGGGAGGATTTGATCGTGACCAACATGGTCTCGTGTGCTGTTACGGGTGTTAGGGCTGATGTCGCTTCCCGGCTGCCCACATCGTGGAAGGGTTTTTCTTGAGGAACCTGAAAAGGAAATTGGATTAATGTTGGTCTTAACGACCTGAGAGCGTGACCGCAGAGCCCAAGGGACAACTGCTTGAGGCCGGTCGCGCACGGCCTTTTCGTGGAAGGTTTTTGATGTGTTAGCTCCGTTCTTCAAAGGGCCTTGCTGCCTGAGACGGAAATCCGTGAGGTAAGGTGAGGTGTGACATTTTTAGGGTCGACATTTTCTTACCCTTCCTTCCTTGTGAGGAGGCAGCATTTCTGTAGATGCTAGTTTTTTTGAAGGAAACATCTTACCGCTGTCACACTCCTCTATAGTCAGCAGTATGACTTCGCCCTCAGACCTTGAGTTGCTACTTTTAGTCTTACCGTTCTCCAATCGACCTGCCTGGCATGGTAGAACCTACAGGAACATATGTTCCAACCAATATAGCTTGGTTGGGTCATCACGATAGGCAAGCTTTACCACCACGTCAATGTAGCAGCTAAGGTCGGGAATTTGATAGTTTACAATAAATGGATGTATTTAAGGCTCATTAGAGACATTATAGTTTCTAGCATTGTGTATTCAAATAATCAAATGTGAATGCTAATTCAAAAGTGTAGTACAACTCAGTAATCATGTCTGCGTTCACAAACTCGGCTTCCAGGTTACGTTTCACTGTGCTAGTGATGCTATCAGATTGCAAAGTAGACGAAAAGATGTTTGAGTGTATGATCCATTGATTAAGACTTGAATATTTTAGCCGTTTAGTCACCAACTTAAAGTGGATCCCATCAGTCCGTATGATACCAAATTATAGTTCAATGTTAAATTATTCGTTATTACAGAAATAATTCAATCATTAGGTTTTATGTTTAATGTTAAAGATTTAATTTTAAATTTCAGTTTGCGATCTACGTGAAAATGATCAAGATAAATTAAGTCACATTGTTGACTTATGTGAACGCTTGTCAACTTTACCTCAATCAGTCAATGATTCATACTCTAGTGAATTACCAAGTTATTCTTGGTTCTATGAAGGTTTTCAAGGTTGGTGGCAATACGATGAACGTACTTGTAATGAGTTGGAGAATGCATTTAATAGGCAATTATCGTCATATGAATTGACTATTGCAGGTTATGTATACAGTATAGATTTGAAAAATATGACTCAGGTAAGAAGTATTGCTTAAGAGTTACTTTTTCATATTCTAGTAATCATTATTTAATAATAATTTATAAAGTATTTCGAGCTGTACTAAGTTTTTACTGTAAGCGCGACTAAGTTATGACTTTCTAAAATAGATGACACTTCAACGTCCAACTTTTAAGTATCTGTATGTTGAGGACAGCTGCCAACTATAAATAACATGAGTATTTTTGGCATAGTTTGGTAGACAATTGCTTATTTGCACCTCCTGCTGGAATCAACTTTGTATTTCCGTTAATTCACTTAATTGTAACTAGTAAATAAAAGTTTTTATTGTTGATGCTTTACAACTTTCTTATGAAGCTAAGTTGCACTAATGAGTTCGAAAAACTAAATGACATTAATTAAATTTCCCCATTTTTGTATAACTTGTCCATTGGTTATGGTTATAAATATGCTATGTGACTTCTCAAATCTAAATCCTAGTTTTGTTAACAAAGTAACTGAAAATAAACTTCTATAAGAATTGCACATCGTTGTATCATTCTTTGATAATTTTTATCTCAGTCCTCATAAGCCAATACATTGTTGTTGGACCGAGACCTTATTCGTTGGTTGTTTGGTGGTAGCATAATGCTCTGTTCTCATGTAAAGTATCTAAAGAATCAAAACATTTTTTTATGACTGTCATGTACTTCCTTATCGTGCAACCTGTTATATTTCTTACATGCGCCAGTGGGTCAATTGTTTGTACTCTCGATTTGTTACTATTAAGCTTAAATTTCGAAGCTTATTCAGATTGTTATAGGAATCTGAATAGATTATTGCTCACTCTTGCAATAAAAAGTGTAAAGCCCAGTACACAAATGTGGACTTGATTATTGAGTTGGATTAAATACTGAAATTAAATTATTTGTATTTTTTATGCATATGTTTCTTTTCGTGTACATAGACACTAATCATAGTCAGTCAATCAGCTACAACGTACGACCAGGCACATATATGCATAGGTCCAAGTTGACATACCTCATCAGCAAAACAACATGAACAAAAAATTCATAGAAGTAAATAATTCAATGGTGATAATATATTAAAAAAAGATTGCATATAAGGATATAATACAGGAAGAAAGAATTAGTTCATAGAACGAAAGATATGAAGCGATTTAAATCTCATCGTTTAAACGAAGACAGAGAGTGTATACACCTACGTCATTGTGATCGATTCTGTGTCATGTCAGCCAGAGTCTCCAACCATTGGTTACGACAGTCACGCGGACCCCGACCAAGTAATCTTCATCTACCAAAAAGGCTCAGACCAAAAGTTGGTGACTTCAAGGACTGATGCCACGTTTTGTTTTGGCCACCCACAACTCTCTTCCAACCATCCCCAAAACTAGTCAGATTGCGCGTCGTGGTAATCGGTGTTCATATATACGCAATACATGGTACAACCATCTCAGTCGATGGAGATTCACAACCTCACCAACTGATTTACCATCAATCCCTAATACCTCTAACCTCACTATTACTTACCCGGTGATACCAGCAGATGCGGGCAATATTTCTAAGACATCTGTGGTCAAATACTAGTAACTTACGAGTATCTTCTCGTAATGACCATATCTCGCAGCTGTAAAGTAAAACAGAACGAGCTGCTACGCAGTATACTCGTCCCTTAATTGATAGATGGATATCTCGCCCTCGCCAGAGGTGACGTAAGTTGGGAAAAGCCAAACGAGCTTTTCGAATCTGTGCTGAGATTTCGTCAGACACCAACCTATTAGGGCTGATCATACTTCCAAGATACGTGAAGTTGTCAACGCGTTCGACTACTTCAATCCCTATCCTTAGTTCAGGTGTTGACGCAGGCCAGTCTTTAGGCAACAACTTGTATTTAGTGGGAAAGAAGCGTATCCCAAACATCCCTTCATTGTTGCTCCGTTCCATCAAAAGACTCTGTATTTTATCAGCATCTTCACCAAACTGGACTTTATCATCTGCGTATTCTAAGTTGATAAGTAGACCTCAATGTAGGAGATCAATTCCTGAAAATTTGGACGACGAGAACGTTACTTCCATCAGTAGGTCTATTATGGAATTAAATAGAAGTGGAGATAGTGAACAGCCTTGTCGGACACCAATTGATGTTGAAAAACCAAATGACAATTCGCCATAAGCCCTGACTCGGGTGGTAGTGCTCGAGTAAAGAGCCCTCCCAGGGTTTATGTACTTGTGAGGTACGCTTTTCAATGACAGACACTGCCACAGAACTTCGTGGTCTTCAGAGTTAAATGCTGCTTTTAAGTCAAGAAAGACCATCATTGTCGGATACGATAAGCATACCTGTGTTCTAGAACCTGACGAATGGTGATTATGTGGTCGATGCAGCCACGGCCATGTTTAAAGCCAAGGTGCTCATAGGTTTTTTAAAAAAAGGCATTTCGCTAGTTTATTTACATGTTTTAAAAATACATTTCATGCATTTTGTATGTTACATTTCATTCGCCTTACATTTAGTTTCTCAAATGTCTCAGTTGCCACTTTTTACTATGCTTGTGATGCATTCTTGTTTTTGAAGATCCGGAAAGATCGTTCTGGTCGTTTGCGTCGAATTAAACGGGACTTGCTAACCTGTGAAAAGAAGGGTGTAGCTGGAATAAAAATGTCCTCAATTCAATCATCTAGCAATAGTACAACATCAGTGTGTAAACAGTTAGAAATTGAGGAAGCGACTCATTCCAATTCTAATGAAGTTAATGGGGGTTCAATGAATAATCCGTCTTCCAACTTACCGTGTTCACAATCCTCCAACAATGGCTGTTTAGAAAGTGATAGATCAGAAGCTAAGCAACTAGTAAGTGCAAGCCGGTCAAGTACACCATATTTATCTGGAGATGAATGTGTTTCCAACTACTCACTAAATCCTTCTGGATCTCGTAATCAACGTAATCCAAGTCCTTCTACGTCAGGAGAATCATTGCGCCATCACAATCGTAAACGTTCTTAACTATTGTCATACTTCAGGCTCCTTTCATAATACTCTAATTACTTACTTGGAATATATATATATATATATATATATATATATATATATATATATATATATAGTGTTTAGACCTGTTCATCAGTTTTCTGTTGTAACTGTGATTATATTGAATATTTGATAATGAGTTCACTTCAAAATTTTATTTCTAACACTATTTTATATATACCCGAAAACTACCAAAAAGCTCACATATATATCACATCTGGTGTTTTAATTCTATTTGAAGCGCATACTCTGTAAATAAAATTCGAGGTAGAGAATAGTTGTTTTCTTCATTTCATATCAGTACCCTATTTATCACTTCTCAATAGTTTATAATGAAACCATCTCAATGAATTCCTGTTCATGGTACTATGCTGCACCTCGACACTGCTTAAAAGTTGTGCAACTATATATTGGTCAGCTTTACAAAAAAGTAGACTAAACTGACTATTTTACTTTGTAATCTTGATGGTAATTGACCATATAGCATATCAATAAGCGGTTGAGCAGTGGCTTTAAAGTTGAAGCATTCGGCTCTCAACCATTAGGTTGTAGGTTCGAACCCACCTACTTCGGTCCGGTTAAGTGGGCAGTGTTAATACTCTAGCCTTTACTCAAAGTATAACCCAAGACCAATCACACCACTCTGTGTTTGGTGAGTTTTTTCAGTAAGTAGTCATTATACAGGTTGAACTGTAATCTATGGATGGCCTTGAGAGACTTTTTCTCCAGTCGGAATATAGATGACAGGAATGAATCATTTATTATCGAAAACCGAAAATTGGGACATATATATACTTCCTATTTGACCGTCAAACTGATTAAGGTTTGCAATGGATTCATCAGTATGCAAATCAACGCAGGTGCCATACAAAAGTTTGTCTATATGACTCCAGTTTAGTTTACCTCTAGAGATTTTGTAAGGTTGAAGATAGTTCTACGGTCTTCACCACACTGTCTAAGCACTTTTACTGTGGTCTCCAGTCTTAGGGTTGACAGAACAAGAACGCTTGTAAACGATGACTATCGTACTTTTTGCATTCACCAATCATCCCTATATATGGTAGTCCCTGAATAATTCTCCTGTGTGGGTTAGATCGTAATGCACCCGTGATCTTGGGAAATCACACAAACGCGCTTGACCATGTGCTTAGCTACATCAGTAAAAGTATACTATACTAATGACTTTGAGTAAGTTAATCACAACCAATATAGGTCTAGAATTTTTGCGCGAAACCGAAGGTGCCGTAAAACGTGGTTGCATATCTAAACTGTCCTTGGGACTTTGAAACAAATAGAATTGCTCAGTATCGAGTTAATGATCGTCGAACTTATGCACAATACTTAAGACGGAATCACAAATAGTCTGGCTCAAGGTATCATCTCATGAGGAAGTTTGTCCTGTCAGCGAATTTGGATGACGTGATGGCCGATTAGCTGAAGAATATTTGACTACTAAAAAATTCACACCAAGTACTGGTCAGGAAAGCTGTGGAGTGCAGTGGTGTTACTACAGAAGAATTAAGTTTAGGATGGTCAGACTTATGCTGCTTGAAGGATAGTAGAGTTATGCTACCAGTACTACTTGACTTCATATTATCTGTAATCTTATCGTTTGTTTCGTGATGCCTATTTCATTTGCAAGGGCTTTACTCCGATTGGTGAGTCATTATCCTTCCTAGAATCGCCCAACGTCGTCAACATGGTTTAATCCTACTGACGTAGAGGTTTACTAATAATACCAAGCATATTTGCTCACTGTGGTTTTATTGGTAATTGTTTTATAACGAAACACTGTGTCTTGACTGGCTGATGAGTTTTTCCAGACCGTTAGAATAGTATACTTTTACCATCACATCGAGTGCGCCCGGTTGGAGACGCAATCTACGTCAGCTTTCACATTAAGTGCCTACCGTGTGGATGCACAGCAGATATATTTGTCGGTTTTGAGCATCCGAACTAGATATAGGGAACCTTTACTCAGCCTCTGGTGAGATACAAACTATTCGTCATGACCTCTTGAATTTCCCTCACGTCTGAGAGGCTCTATTTTCATTCTGATTGGCATATCCGTATAATATAATTTCCCTACTTCTGTTTACGAGGAATACGAATCAACGGACCTATGTTGATAATTGCATCAAGTGCTAAAAACACTTTATAAGTTGCCAAAACCAACTAACTAGACAAATATTAATCTAGTGAACATTTATCTATCTCCTGAATCATTTCGTTAGTGTTGCATAATCTTAGCTTGATCTCTGCAAACCAACTAGCAGATATCATTAATTCATTTTATGAGGCAGATAATGAACAACTGAAAGTGAAACAATCATTTGAAATAGTTCTCTGCAGTGTAACACTTGGATTACATACAATAACCAACTATATTCCATATCTTTATTCTTTTTTTAATTTTCTTTACATTGATGATAATTCCTTGAATGTCTTTGAAACATTTCCAGATGAACTATTTAAATGTAACTACTCCATAATCACACTACCATTGAAGGAATGGGTTGAGAAATCACACAACACATTTTGTGAACGAAATAGTAAAGTGCAACTTTGATTCTAGTCGAATACTAGAGTGAAGTGAATAATAGTCAATATGGAAACGTATTATAAGATCAAAATGATGATAAGATATCGGAGAGCGCTTTCCAAATATTTTAGTAGTTTCCAAGCATTATGTGTATATAAAACATCTATTACTCAAATTTATTCTTGATTTTTGAGTTGTAAATAGTAACAAACATTTCTATTGTATTTTATGATATATTGTTAAGCATTAGTAAAACAGGGAGAGAGAAACAATAATGTAAGTAAAAATCAGATATATGGTCGAATTCTACGTAATGTATGAAATGACTGAAATTTAGTAATGGATGGTAAAGTTAGATGAGTACTAATTATATTCTCCACGGGATCTGTAATAACAAAATAACAATTATATTCCATTATGTTAAACTAAAGTTACAAAAATGTAGAGGGGTAGTTTCTGTATACTTTATTCGAATTAGTTCAAAGTGTAGTTTAGTTGACTAATGAATTATTGTGCCTAGGTTTGGCCACAGTAAGAGAAATTTCTTCTGTATTCAATTCTCCGGTGTTTCAGTAATTTTCATTGATGTTTTTGCCAATTGGTAGATTTTGGCATGTAATTAATTAAAAGAATAATTCACGCTGACTCATTTTAACTAGATGAAATAGGAAGGAACTTTTGATCGTTATAATTACGCCTTTGCTTGGTCACTGTTGGAAGTGTTTGCAAATACGAAAAATTAAATTCTTAAAACATCTATCAACGTAACTTTCTCCACAGGTCAGTTGAAAGTAGTTTATATGCCAGTATCGGTGCAGCTATCCGATGAGTAAAAAACACTAGTTGTAACTTTTTCTGATTTGAACATTATTTGATTTGTTCTGCGCAAACTCATTATTAACATTTTGGTAGATCCTTGAATATTAGATGCATATGCAGTGAATTTTTGTTAACCATTTGAACTTTCTCTATTGCCAACTTTCATGGTCATGTTTGTTTGCAATATTCCCTCAAGTACTCATTTTTCTTTAGAGAATTACACAAGTTTAGATATAAAGCACATCATCATTATTGCTTTACTTCAGAGTGGTCAGCCACTTTAATAAACTTTATACTGTTTCTACAAGTAACAAGTTAATTTACGCTTACCTAGTTGACTTTCTTATTTCTTGATGCTTAAAATTGAAAAAAAACTTCCGGTGATTTAATTATCAACAGAAATGTTCTCATGTTCATGAATCATATATTCATTATTGTACAACAAACCTCGTTAATACCATGTCAAATGTTGACGATAAAGCTAGATGGTCAATTAAAATTCTTCTTAATCTAAAATAAGTAAACAGATCTATAAACATGAGGAATGGATCGACTCCGGAAATAAAATCTTTTTTAGGATATGGAATTGTATTGATCTGTTCAGTTACAATATAATTTATTTTTCACTAAACATTGTGACATGAGATAAAAATTTCACGCACACTGATTGTTGTCTGATCGAAAGAAAATAGTGATTGATTGTTGTCGTAGGCAGATTGGTGGATAGTCTGATAAGTAATTGATATGTCTTATGTATTTCCCTACCCGTGTACTTACTGCATTGTAGGTTGGTAATTGCTAAACAATACATGTACTAGTCAGGTGAATCGCGTGTTCTTGAGTTATTTTGAGGCCTTGTAGAAGAATAGTGCTGAATAGGTATGTAGTATAGAGCGAGTGAATTATATACGCAAACAAATTATTCATTGCTCATCCCAAGCAATTTAGTGTCTGTGTACTAAGAAATATGAGCGTTATTTCACTAATATTATCATCATTATCCCAACAAAGAAGAAATGTATTATACAGACATTTTTATTTGTCAATCATAGAAACTGTCATCCTCTAAGTCTTCCGTTTTATATGTTGTCCATGATGAAAGTAGATTAGCATTTGTTGAATCTAAAATTGAAGAATAAAGTGATTGATTATCTTTTCCGTTTTTTTAAAAAAACAGTATTTAAAATAGCCAAGAAAATCACACAGTTTACTGAAAAGCAAACTTCTGAGAAGACAAATAATTCCTTACTTACTTACGCCTGTTACTCACAATCGAGCGTAGGCCGCCGACCAGCATTCTCCAACTCACTCTATCCTGAGCCTTCCTCTCTAATTCTATCCAATATTGTTCATTCTTTTCATGTCTGTCTCCGTTTCTCGGAGTAATGTGTTCCTTGGTCTTCCTCTTTTCCTTTGGCCTTGAAGATTCCAAGTGAGGGATTACCCTGTGACGCAGTTGGGTTTATTTCTCAATTTGTGTTTTATCCACTCCCAGTGCTTCTTCCTGATTTCCTCCTCCACTGGGATCTGGTTTGTTCCCTCCCACAGTAGGTTGTTGCTAATAGTGTCCGGCCAACGGATCTGAAGTATTTTGCGTAGACAACTGTTAATAAAA